TGATTAAGTGGCTATTGCTACTTCCATTTAATATTATACCAACCTGGTGTCTTCCCTTGTCTGTACTGTAGCATCCTCCTTCTCTTCTTTATCCTTACAGCTGTTAAACATGTAATCTCTGCAAAGTGGGTTTAAAACATTACAGCAGTGAAAGAACATGAAAAAAACATGACATTTTAAATAAATACATCACAACAGCACAAATGTTATATTGAGTGAAAACATTCAAACTGAAGTTTATCACTAAGTTACATTCTACAAGTTATATTTTATGACTTATCATCTAGTAAAACAAATAACTGTTATTTATATCTTTTACACATGCACAAACAGCTATTAAATTACAAAAAAATCAGACTAGCAGTTTTCTTATGCCATTACTTTGGTGCCCTTCTATTGCGGCACCCCTACGAGTCGCATATGGTTCATACCAACGTTTATACCAGTGAGAAAGCTGAATGAATATTGAAATATTGACGAATGACAATAAAAATGGTCTTACATCAACATGTCCTTCTTCCTGTGTGATACAAATATATTTTAATCACACAAACATTAATTGGCAGATAAAGACATTTACTGAGATGACCTTTTTAAAAGGTAAAAAATAAAATCATTATAAAGATGAATAAATATTGGTGTAACTGAAAAACAGGAATAAAAGTATCTTACTGAGAGTTGATGTCTGATGTATCTTTATGTTTCCTGTGTGTTTAAATATAGTTTTATCACAAACATTCATCATTTGATTGAGACATTTACTGAGATGATATAACCATCTAGACACTGTAACAGCAGTACCTTTTCTCTGCCTGTTTTCTGAGCAGCACAAAGAAGAGAGCAGCAACACAGAGCGCCAACACTAATCCAGCCACCACAAACAATCCTTTGGAGAAACAGGGACATGTCGATGTGAACGATTCAAATTGTAAATGTAAAAACTGAAACCTCAGCATGAACTTACCAATAATAATGTAATTTGAACCAGGTTCTACATCCAAACCTGGTGAGAGAACATCAGAGATCAGAGTCACAAACAGATCATCCGTCTATAAATGAGTCTTCAAAAAAGTTCCTCACCATCATCAGACGTCTCTGTGAGTCCAGGAACGGTGACCAGCAGCTCTCTGAGAGCAGCAGTTTGCACTAATACTGAACATTCAACCTGTGTGCTGTTGAGAGCTGAGAGCAGAACAGTGGTGGTGAAAGTGATGGTACCGTTGATGTTGGTCACTCTGCTGGTGTTGTAGTGGGAGAAGCTGAGGTTCTGATGGAGAACAGTCAGTGTTACCATGGGAACAGGTCGACCTGTGGCTGAACAGGTCACAACCGACCCTGGAGGAGAGTTTGATCTGCTGACATTAATGAAGGGTCCATGCAGCTCTGTGGAGAGAACAGACATGACAAATGTTGCACCAAATAACAAATGTTATACAGAGAAGAGTTCACCATCTGAAGATGTTCTGCTGTTCTTTACTCACCACAGAGTTTTAGACATGTTCTGCCTATCATCGCTCCTTTAGGATAGGTGTTAAACAAACATCGGTAGCAGCCTTCATCCTCCTCCATCACCTTCCTGATCACCATGGAGCAGCTCTGCAGAGATTCATACTGAAAGTCCATCTTGTCCTCCAGTCCTGCACTCACTCTGGAACCAAACTTCTCGGTGTAAGTGGCGAGGTTCTTCTCTCCATCGAGGAGGACTTTCTGCCAGGTGACTTGGAGGACATCTTTAGTTTTAGAGAGCCGACAGCTCAGAGAGGCCTTGTCTCCCACTGCTGCCCAAACAGCCTCCTTTGTTTCTATTACAGCAAAGTGACCTGAAAGAAACATACTGTTAGTAATTATAAAGTTTCCAGAGAGATGTAGCTTCACCGGACTGGTGAGCTGGTCTTCTTGGATTTAACTGGTGCAAAAAACGTTCACTACAAGCTGGAGATGGCTTTGGTTCAAGCTAAATATGATGAATAAGAAGATTAATTCATCATATATTCACAGTTGTTTTCAAGCTAATAGCTCCCCTACATCACCAGCCTCTGATTTTTGTAAAAATCTCTGTGGACAAATATTTAAAACAACTTATAACAGAAAACCAACAGATCCAACAGTCATGACATGCTTACTGCTGATTCTATATAACCAAAAAGTCAGGTGTCAAACAAGAAATCCTCATTTAAGGAGAAAAGCAGCAAATGGTGTACATTTAGATCAAAATTAGAAAGTCAGCGTATTACCTGACTGTCAGGAAATATTAAGCAAACAGGTCTCAGTCTATGTCAGCCTATAGACAAATACAGAATAATAAACTAGGGTCTTTATAAGGATAATGCAAACATATTTGATGCTGATTAGTGACTATAGAAGTAGGGAAAACACAGCTATGACAGAATAAGTGCATGTTACAGGAGTAAAGTAACTCTTTGGATTCAAGTAAAATATAAAGAAATATAAAATACTAGGGAGAAATCTGTGGATCTTCACAAGTCTAGTTCATCCTGGGCAACAATTTCCAGATTTCTGAAGGCTCAAGGTTAATTTTTTTTAACAAATAAATGCAAAAACACACATAATTGGGATGTCCACCCATCAAATTGTTCAGAAATAACAAGACTTCTGTGACCCAGAGTTAAAAGGATTTTGACAAGAAATGTGTTAATCAATCCCAGAAGAAAAACAGTTTGTGAAGACTCTTGAAGCTGGCAAGAATCTCACCATTCACGGTGAAATAATCTTTTTATTAACATGGGCTGAAAGGTCACTGACAGGAAGAAGACGCATTCCAGTTTGCAAATGCACCCAGGAAAAATACTTTATTTTGTAGACATGTTCTGTAATCTGATGAAGCTGAAGTTGGACCAAACATGTTATAGGGCTGTTTTGCTACAGGAGAAACTTGTGCACTTCATAATATATATGACGTCATGACAAAAGAACATTATGTGGAAATATTGAAGGATATGAAAGCCTGGACACTAATGGGTCTTCCAAATGGAGAATGACCCACAACACAGCACCCAGAAAATGTTAAATAAAGCATGTAAACTTGAATAAAGCTAAAAAAAAAAAAAAAGAAAGAAGCAAACTTCTTTTTTTTTTTACTTTCTTCAATATCTTAACTGTAGCAATACTATTTCCTATGCTTTTGGAACAAAATGTTAAACGTATTAAAACTAAAAGGCACAATAAGCAGATTATTATCATCAAATGTATGATAATAAATCGCATTCTGCTGTCTAGTAGCGCAAGTCACTATGTATATGATGAAGCCTCGTTTTCATTTTTAGACGAGAAATAATAAATACCCTTGCTTGTCGGGCTAAACTGATTACTACAAATATTAAGAAAATGTCAAATTATTGTGCTATAGCCACTCAATAAATCTGAAATCTCGTTTAAAATAAAATCCACCGACTGTAAAACATCTATGACCAAAACGAAAGAAAAACTAAAAACGTAGGAAAGATTCGTTTATCTGCTTCGGTTTGCCAGAACAAATCAGTTCTCACCAGAGTGAAGGATGGTGGTAAATAAAAACCAGCAGAGTAAAACAGCATGTTGCATTTTGTTGTCCTTTACCAAGTCTCCATATTTCCTGTTTTACTTCTTAATTTCGAACTGAGCTGGGTGGAAACAGACAGGTGTGTCCACATGTAAACGGGTGTGTCGTCGTAAACGGTGTCGTCACGAGTCACGTGGACAGCTTCTGCGCCTCCTTTACGGAGGCGCAGAAGCTGTCCACCGTAAACCGAACCTTTACGGTGAGACAGATTCATCTATTATAGATTCATCCCTCTTTAAAAAATTAGGCTAATGATTATTTTGTCGTCGTCAGCGACAGTTTTTAGAGAGTTTTACAGAAAAAAAATGTTACACTTTCCTTTGAAACATGAAGTTAAGGTAAATGTTCCCATGTAAAAGAAAGAAAAATGTCTCTGATTGTTAAACTTATTTTCTCAGAAATAAAAATCTTCATACCCTTACTGGAAAAAGGAGTAAGTCATTTCAAGATATTGTAGTACTTGTATGCATCTGCTTATCTCTGCATTATTTCCCATAGGCCTACTGACTAGGCTGATCTGACTTTAAGTGCGTTACTGTTCATTTACTTCGTTAACGGAATTCTGCATGCAGCCGTTGTGTGTTGGGGAATGTGTTTGTTTTAGTTCTGGATGCTCGCTGACTCTGGTGTGGACGTGTAAAGTGTGTCTGCATCGGCGTAAGAGCACATAAACTATCCAGTTGCACTCCTGCTTGGTTATCTTCATTAAAAGAAGATCAACATTATCCCCTCCTGGAGCGGTTATTATCCCGCACCTTTACAATCCATCCGTTGCCACCGTTAACAACATGATGATTTAAACAAGTTGTTCTGCTACTAACCAGACATAAGAAGAAAAATTTAAACCAATTAAACAAATAGACTATAACTATGCATACAAAGTGCTTTTCTGCCCATAAGGTTACGAAAATCTCTTTAAATGAGTTATAAATGATCAGACATTAGGTCGTCATGGTAACACAATAAAAGGAGACAATACTAAACAGTTTCGCACACATCTTATTAGTACTTGGTTATCAATATAAAAAATCCCAAAGTTGGAACCATTCAGTTTTCAAACATTTTAATAAACTAACTGGATTTTTAGCTGTCAGGTTGGACATCATCAAGACAGTTTTTTTGGGTTTGTTTTTTTTTTTTTTTTGGTTCAAAAGGTGATCCTTTGAGGCTGTTATGTTCTGGACTTCTCTTGGCAGATGTTCAAAGTTAAATGTTATTCATTGTTGTCATTAAAGGCTAAACGGTTCAAGGCCAGATGTTCCTGCTGGTTTTACTTATGACTGCTGGTCTCCATTTCGGCAGTGGGATAGTGCAACTGGCTTACACTTGTCTCTCCGCCTTTTAGTCTTTTGGGAATGTAATTAATCTCTGGCCCTGGAGGTTCCATGTCTCTGAAAACGACAACAAACAACATCTCACTACACGTCAAAGTCAGATCTTTCTACTGGTTTTACTTATAACTGCTGATCCTTCAGCAGTGTAACTGGAATGCATACCCAGTTTCGTTGATTGGTCTTTTGCGTACATGACAGAAGACTATTTGGTTTGCACGCACAACTGTGACATTATATGGGGGCTCAATTTTCTCTGGCACCAGAGGTTCCATGACACTGAATACAACAACACAGATTATCTCACTTAGTGTTATTATTACACATAGAAGTAGGTTAATATTTTAACAATGTGGCAAAAAGACAAAAAAGCTGAAGTGGTGTAAATGAGGAATAATAATAAAAGTCTTACTGAGAGTTGGTGTCCGATGCATTGTCATTCTCCCTAGTGATACAAATATATTTTAATCACAAAACATTTGGCTGATTGAGACATTTGGCTGATTGAGGTGATGCAGCCATCCAGACACTATCTGACAGAAGTACCTTTTCTCTGCCTTTTTTCTGAGTCGCACACAGATAAGAGCAGCAACAAAGACACAGACCAAGAACACAAACCCAGTGATCACAGATTGTCCTTTGGAGAAAGAGGAACAAATGTTGATGTGGTCAATTCAATAACAAATGAAAAAACTGAAACCTTGGCATGAACTTACCAACAATTCTATAATCTGATCCAAACTCTACATCTAAACCTGGAAAAGAGAGACAGATATCAGAATCATACACAGATCTTAGGTCTGTAAATGTGAGTCTTCAAAGGAATTCCCCACCACCTCCAAATGTCTCTCTGCGTTTGGGAACAGTGACCATCAGCTCTCTGGGAGCAGCAGAGTCAGGTCCAAGCACCTCTGTGCAGAAAACAAGACAAATGTGACAATTAGTATTAAACATCTGTTATATCACCTTGGCTTAGAGAATAGTTCCCCATCTGAAGATGTTCTGCTGCTCTTTACTCACCATCAAGTTTTAGACAGGTTCTGCCTATCAGCGCTCCTTTAGGATAGGTGTTAAACAAACATCGGTAGCAGCCTTCATCCTCCTCCGTCACCTTCCTGATCACCATGGAGCAGCTCTGCAGAGATTCATACTGAAAATCCATCTTCTCCTCCAGACCTGGTCTCACTCTAGAACCAATGTCCTTGATATAAGTTGCCAGTGTTTTTTCTCCATCAGGAAGAACTTTCTGCCAGGTGATCTGAAGAACATCTTTATTTTCAGTTAGACGACAGCTTAGAGAGGCCTGGTCTCCCACTGCTGCCCACACAGTTTTCACTGTTTCCACTGCAGCCAGCTGACCTGAAAGACAAAATATTGTTTGCAATAAAGTTTAGAAGTTATTTCAGGATGTTGCAGCATCACAGATTAGACTGGTCAGCTGGTTAACTGGTGCACAAAACTGAATAATTTTATGTGGAGTAACAAAATGTAATCGTCGGATGAGCTTTATAGCAACAGCTTGCAAATTTTTTTTTTTTTTTTTTTTGCATGGACAAATATTTCACTTGGGACTCGACACAGTCACCTACTATGTAGGATCATCTGTGGTGAGCACAGATTTTATCTAGTTAATGTATTACAAGGGAATATCATCCATTTTTGACCAAGTCTTTCTTTCATTTTTGAGTGAGGAATAATAAAATACCCTTTCTGATGAGGTAAAACTGATCATTATACTAATAAGACATCCAATTATTGTTTTGTAAGTAATCACTCAGATCTTCTGGAATCTATCAAATCCAACAACTGTAAAATTACATTTTTATGACCAAAGCCAGAGGAAAACTTGTAAGCATAGAAAACAACAGCCTAACTGCTTTGGTATAAAACAAATCTGTTCTCACCTGTCTGGAAGATGGTGGCAACTAATAAACAGCTGGTTACAACAGCAGGTGTCATTTTCTGATCCGTTAAGAAGCTCATACTTCCTGTCCTGCCTGCTGAATAATTGGAGCGGTGCTGAAAGACAGACAGGTGCATCTTCTGTGGTGTCTTCATGAGTCAAAGGTGAGAGACGTCCCTCTCTTTAAAATAGAGGTTAATGATTACTTTCTTGCTACAAGCCACAGTTTTTAAAGAGACAAATGGATTTTCAATGAAACACCGAACTTAAACAAAAACTGAACTATTAACTAAATATCACTTTAGCAATTAAAATTCCCTGGTAAAACTCTCCTGAAACTTTCCATGGTAAGACATGAAATGTCACTGCTAAAGAAGTTGTTTAAACATAGTGGTAATAATAATACAAAATTGAGTGAAGGGAAAAAGTATGGTCGAAAAAGCTGCACAAGCAGCAAAGATAATCACAGCCTTGAGAGGACTGCCAGGCAAAACAGGATCAACAGGAAGACAGAGGATAGAGTAAGAAGAGCTATTGAACCCTACAAGCATCTTACCTGGAATGAGAAAACTCAACTGTTGTCCAAAGTCCTGTTTTCAGATGAGAACAAAGTTTGCACTTCATATGGAAATCAAGATCTCAACGTTTGGAAGGAAATGGTAGAGGTGCAGAGTCCATGTTGCTTGAAGTCCACAGTTTCCTTTGGTAAGGGGCACCATGTGATTGATCTGCTGCTTCAAAATAGAAACTTAGCTCGATACCAACCTGGAACGGTCTATTTTTTTTAACACATTAGACTTATTCTACCTCACAGAAATCCATCTATCCAGTTTATAAAAACAATTTAAACAATTACAGATATATTCTGCATTCTTTTTATTCATGTAGCTATAAAATACCAAACACATACATGATCAATGTATATTCATAAATAAATACTAGTCAAGTGTGTTAGAAACCTTCTATCACCAAATGTGCAACTTTTCAGCAAATGGAAAAACATTTTGAACATTAGAATACAAATCAAGTGGTTTATTATATTACAAAGATCTCTTGACGGTTAGTTTTTGATGTATTTTCATAACCTCTGGTGAACAGCTTTCTATATCAGGTGTTGATGGTGATGGCTGCTTGCTAGTTGGTCTAAGAATCAGAGCACCTGTCTGCTTCCTGTTGTTCTGTTTAGGTATACAATGCTCTTCAGCCCTAAAAAAAAGATTTAAATTAAATAATTTTAGAAATGAACATTTTCTAAGCTAAAAGCAAGGAAAAAGGACAACAGAAAATATTTTGATTTGTGTCAATTTTATAATCCAAATAAAAGCCTTACTGTGTATTTCTGGTTTGTCTTATAGGTTTTTTCTTCCTTTGATGCTTCCTGTGAGACACATTCCAGGACTTAAAAATGTGAAGAAAATAAATCATTACTGACCAACCAAATAAGCTGTCCAATAGTTACCTGTTCTGATACGCTTTTCTGAAACAGAAAAGTGTGAAAAAAGTCACAATAATGCCACTGAGGAACCCCACTACAAATTTTACAAGCCGTGCTTTGGAGAAAGAACAACAGGTTTCAGCAACATTTTGAATGAATAAAGATACTACAACACCTGAAAA